TCCATAACCAAAGCCATCGAAGTGTTCAATAAAATTGGAGTAAGCATTGCTGAAAGTGATATTGATATTGCACATAGACTTGGTCCATACAAAAGCGATAGGAATAGGGGTATTATTGTGAAATTTACATCAAGAAAGTCCAAAATTGAAGTCATAAGGTTCTTGGCGCAGAGTGGAATCACTATTAACCCTTGTGCTAGCACGTCGTTTGATAACATTGGATAGTAACCTGGGGTATTTGGGAACCCCTATTATTTAATGGGAATTTTCAACAAAAGAACATGAAATATATTGCCAGGTGTGGCAAAGAATACTTTATAAAGACTCCTTGTTGACCAAATCAATTGTTCAAGATGATAGTTATACCGATATGCAAAATGCATCATGTCTTCAAGCCAAACCTATAATCTAGAATATTACATAAGGTCGGGTTGTGATCTAGGGATGAGCAGAGTGCATCTGTTTAGATTCAATTATTGATCAATTAGTCAAGATTTCAAAAGTAGCTAACTTAATTTGATATGGTTATAACATTTATTGATAATTTGAAAATTATGTATAAAAAACTCAAATTTGACCTCCTTCAGGTACTTCAGGACCCCAGAGATTCAATAGGTGTTATAGTCAATTTTTAACCAAAATGGCCCCAAAATTAGTTGAAATAGCCCCTATATGGTACCAAATAATTTTTGGTTTTATGGAACAACTTTAACAATTAAATAATTGTTGCTTTCAGCAAAGTCCCAGTTTGTTATCGAAATGTCAATTCTTTTTTTTTTTTTTTTTTTTTTTTTCCGATTTTTCCACACCTTTTCAAGCAAAGGCTGCAACAGCTGCATCAACATTATTACGTGTAGACCTTCTGTAGTGGCAAGTCGTAAATGAGTGTATTTTGGAACATTTTTGCAAAAACGGAAGTGCCAAAGGGCCACATGTGCAAAAAATCGAAAATCGGCTCTAGAAGGCGCATTTCTGCATCGATTTTCTTCGGGTTTTCATTTTTACAATTTATCTGTTATTACACTTGAAAAATTGCGAA